ACCATGTAACTATGTTGTTAGTCTTCAAATATTCATAGTGGCTTATATAAAATACTGAGACTTTGGGATCTTAAATACAAAAATAGACTTGATAACTAATAAAAATGTATCTAAAGCAGAGTACATTGTTAGTGATAGATTTATTGGTGGCCTTGTACTGCAGGGGACAGACACAGAGTTTTGCCCCCTATCAACACTGACACACTATCTACTATTACCTACACCGACAGACCTGACCACTGTTACCTCTCTGCATGGACATACTGGCTGTGACAGCTCTCTCTGGATCTCCTTTCCACCCATCCTAAAAGTCACCAGGACAACCTTGTCAGGGGCTTATGGGGGGGAGAACTATTCCCTTTGAGAAGGTTCCAGACAGAACTAAGAAGATCAACAGACTGAGAGCACTGTCAACACCATAGAACTTGTGTCTACTCACTCTGGGGAGTTGTTCCAGACCAGGACACATGGCTCAAGGATATGAACTCACTTCCCTCAGTCTCTGCATCTTTCCCAGTCACTGGTTACATGGGCCACACCCGCAGGCTTGAGCCACTGGCTGACACAGGGAGGCAAACCAAAGAAAGGGCTCAAGGCTCATGCAGGGTTCAGTGTCTTCAGGCCACATAGCACCTTCTCCTACAGTGAGAGGAACACAGTAGCTCAAAGCAGCAAGGAGAGGTGTAATTTGTGACAGGTTATGTATGGCCGGAGCACCAGCACACTGTGACCTCCTGGGAAGGGGAAGGTCAGGACAGTATGAACAGGAACTCAGAAGAAGGTAGAGCTGATGGATTACCAACACCAAAATTGACCCTTCACTAGGGTTATCCATAGAGCACCTGGGATGCCAGGCTCCCACCAAAGCTGTCCTGTCCTCTGTCCAACTGGAGGTCATGTGGAGCTCCAGAAACTAGTATATCTGGCTGGCCTCCTGGGTGCCAGTCCAGGCTTTAGGACCTGAGGCAGCATCACTAGCCTGGCTTTCCCTACAAGGCACAGATTGAAATAGGGGTAGGATATTCTGATTGAAACATAATAGTCAAAGAAAGCAGACCATGTCTGTCTCCTGACTTGAACAGTGCAAACACTAATTGGCTTGTGACTGTTTTGAGACAGGGATTTCACTATGTAGCCCAGGCCTGCCCTAAACTCAAGAGCCTCTTCTGTCTACCTCCCAAATGCTAGGACTGCAGGTGTGCCACTAGGCCGGAACACTGAAGACAACTGGGTAATTTAAGTATGTTCTCAGCATTCGATGATACCAGGAACTATCATTTCATATGATAATGAACGTGTAGCTCATTTAAGAGTGCACCTTGTGTTTCAGAGGTGCTGACAGAATGCTGAGGAAGGTATAATAAGCTCTCCAGGGGCTTCTTTAAAATGCTACAGCCCCCAATCAGAAAAGGCAGGGATGGCAGTAAATACCTATAATCCCAACTCTGGAGGTTATGGCAAGAAGATCACAAGTCCAAAGCCTGTCTGGGCAGCTTAGTGAGAACTGCCTCAAAATAAATAGTAAAAAGAGGACTGGGATAGAGTTTGATGGCGAGGGTTTGCCTGATCTGCAAAGAACCCAGGTTCAATCCCCAGTGCTGCAAACCAACATTAGAAGAAAAGAGACAGAATGGGTGTGGCCAAATATCAGCAATGCTGATGGGGGCAGGGACTGAACATTGTACTTCTTGTTTGTGTATATTTTGAAACTCCCCCGCCTCCCGCCATGAAAGAATTGTCTACAGAAAGTAAGTTCCCTTAGTAGAAATAAAAACAACAAAATCCATTCTATAGGAGGCCTAGCAGAAGATGGTGAGAGAGTTCACTAAGAGTCTCCAATGGGAGGGTGTGACAAACTGACTGAGGGGAACAACCCTTTTCCCTCAGTACTAGCTTTACCATGAAGTAGTCACTCCAGTCTGGTAGGAGAGTGGGCTCAACCCCTCCCAGACCTGACCTCCTGCTGCCCAGATATGAGGGTGGGCTTGCTTTAAAAAACAAATGAGCACTGAGTTCATCCTCAGCACCTCAAACACTGGACATGGTGTAGCAGGTACACCTGTAATCCCAGCATTCTAGACGTGGAGGAAGAAGGTCAAGATATCTTTGGCTAGAGAGCCTGGGATACCAGGGTCTCAAAAAATAACCCAACCAACCAGCCAGAAGTCAAGAATGACAACTTGGTTGCTTCTCAGCATTAATGAGTATACTGGTTAAGTGACTAGGAAGGAGCAGGGTGGTCTTCTGCAACCACACCAATACTAAGGTTCAAGAACAACATTTTAAAGGTGATACTTACTAGTTCTTCCCCATAACACAAATCCAAGGTTTCCTTTGGGAGTGATACACTGTCTCAAGCATCTCTTTTCCGAGCAGCATGGAAAGCGTCACCCCCTCTAAGAAAAGGGGGACAGAATGAACAACTAAACACACAGCAAGCACTGATTGACTGGACTAGTAAAAGAAAGAACTGCAGTTTACAGTCTGTATTCCCAGCATTTGGGAGGTTGAGATGGGTAGAGTGCCATGAGTTCAGAGCTAGCTTGGGCAATGTGAGTTCTAGGTCAGCCTGGGCTACACAGTAAGACCTTGTCACAAAAACCAAAAGGAAAAAAAACCATCAGGATCCATTTAGCCACAACCCCCTTGCTAGAATTTGACCAATACAAGAAAAGACAGATGCCACGGTGCCTCAAACCCCAGCACAGAGCCACAAGTCTCACAAATGATGGTTAGAGTCCCCAAGGAGGCTGGGGATGACCTCAGTGAAGAAGCACTTGCCTAGCATGTTCACACCAGAAAAAAAAAAGATTTCCACAGGACATCTTGAGAAGAAAAAGAAACTGTCAATGTGTCTTGCCCTGCTAGATACAATCACAAAGGCCCAGCACCAAACTAACCAAACAATGAGATCCAGTCACCCACAAGCCCGTGGAACATGCAGACATAATGGAGATGGCCATGGCTGTATGCCCACCTCTTAAGAGAAGCTGGCTCTCATGTCAGTGGTTCATCCTGTGAACACCAGTTCTGTCCTTTAGAGTACTTAGAAGCATGCGGTCCTCAGCATATGCTCACTGCTCAGAGCCATGTCTGCAACAGTTTCTACTGTAAAAAGCTAGTGTGGTACATTACAGACCACCTGACACAACCCAACATCACTCCTAGAGAGAAGACTCAAATTCTCGTACATTCTGAGGCATGTATGTTCTCAGCATTTTGAAAAAACAACTTGCTCTGTCAGTAAGGAAACGACTGCTGCACCAGCTTACGCTATGACCTTTAAAGCTCACTTGTAGATCTGGCTCTGTTCGGCTCCAACCACAGTCCCTAAGATTTCACCTGTAACTCAGATGAACAGAAGGAAGCGAAGCAGCTCACACTTTCACGGCGGCTTTTAGCCCAGTGCCCCTGCAAGCCCACTCTAAACACAGCATGGCCTTGGTCTCAGTCAGTAACGAGGAGTGGCTGGTGGCACGAGTGAAGTCTCAGGACCACCTCTGCACCCCGAAGGCTACAGTCTCCACTCTACTTTGTGGGTTAGGGTGCTAGCAAGGCATTCTGAAGAGATTTCACACACTGTACTGGCTGAACAAACTAAACAAACCTACACGCTAACTGCTCACGGGAAGCATGATTCGTTTTAAAAGCAGCATCACGGGGCATGATACACAATCTACTACAGATGAACAGGAATCTGAACTGCATAATATTCAAAATGTATAGCACCGGTTTTTACTTGAATTCAAAGCAGGTGTCAAAAAAGCCAATGCTGCAGAGGCCAATTCATCAGTCACTACAGGGAATGGCTGGACATGTGTACGTTTTAACATCACTTCAAATAAAGTTTTAATTCCTTGACATTCAAAACTGTATAATCTACTTGTAATCAGAAAAAGCCCTGACTATCTAGCATGAACTCATTTACTTTCTATGTCTGAAGAAAGGATTCTGATTGCTAACTATACCAGTGGGGGAAGGGGCTCTTTACAGAGGAGTCCGCAGGGGTCAAGACGGATTTTTATCTGTCTGCTTTCCTGGAGCGGAACTCTTTACATTGGGTTGAAAACTGAAAGGGACTCTCTCCGCACTAGTTTGAGCAAAAGGGTTGCTGAAGAAGAGGTTCATGTCCAGGGGTGCCTCAGACTCTGAGTCCCATGAGTCTGTGTCTGTGCTGCTCGAGTCTTCAGCTGTGGTGGGTGGGTAGCTAAGCTGCTCTAGCTGGTCTATAATGTCAGAGAACTGGAAGGCTGAGCTGGACTCGGAGCGCACTGAGTAGGCTGGGAAGTTCACCATGGAGCTGGCCTCGGACTGATTGGCTGAGCTGGATGTGGGCAGAGACAGCCCACCGTGCAGCGGCATGTTGTTGAGGGAGCTAGTCTCAGACTGGTTGTTCCTAAGTGAGCTAGTTTCAGAAGGACTCAATAGACTCTGCATCAGGCTAGCCTGTGCCTTCACCTCAAACAGCTCTGAGGTGTCTGAGGGATGCACATTGCCATTGAAGTCACTTCCTTCTCCGAACTCAAAATCATCTTCTACACTCATGTCTACTGCCTCAGTAGAGTATCTATCTGGGCTGGACTGGGCAGACTCTGGGTGCTGGAAGGAATCCAGACCGCACAAGGCAGGAGATCCAGTGGACTGGACAGGCAACAGAGACTCCTTAAGGACTAAGGAACCATATGGGAAAGAAAATGCCTCAGAGCCTCCAGCAAAGAAAGAGATGTCTGCTGGGTCATCATCTATGAACTCTTCAGACACCTGCAGCTGTGCATTTGTCAATGTGAAAACAGGGGTCCCCTTGAGGCACTGCAGGCCACCCTGGTATTCCCCTCTGGGCAAGAAGGAGCCTGCAGAAAATACATCCTCACTACTATCATTTCTACAGCTAGCTTTGAGTCCCCTCCTGGCCCTCCCTTTGCTTGGGTCTAAAGCATCGAGACTCTGTCCCCTGGGACAGGCAGAATCATGGCTGTTCACAACACCACAAAACCCGGCACCTGGACCAGGCTGGAGCACAGGGGGTCCAGGGAGATGCGCTGACTGAGTGCTGGGGCCTTCAGACGATGATGCTCTGCTGCTCCTCTCGGCTGTTGTGTTCCTGATGGAGGAAGCCTGGGGATCCACAAGGGAACTGCTGCTGTCCTTCAAGCTGGGCACACCAGGAGGGGACAAAGAGGAAGCAGGGAGTGCATGAAAGGAGGCATTTGCTGAAGACAGCGAGGCAGAAGTTCTCAAGCCATCGGTGAGTGAGATGCTCTGGGAATCAAAATTAAGACAAGAAAAGAAAAAGGGGAACAAATAAAATTATAAAACACTATTACAAGTTGTAAAGCTAACTGGGTCAAATTCCAGCATCTACACATCCTTACAACTTTTCTTGAAAAGGGAACTTGAACAGCTTTTCCCTTTCACCAAGTAAGGATTTAGATTGTTCTCACTGTAGTCTTGTCTAGTCTGAGACTTGTGACAATTTGCCTTCCAAGTACTGGGGTTATAGATGTGTGCCAGGCCTGGCTTAGAAAGGCACAGTCCTGCAAGCTAACCCAAGGCCATCTGCCTATAACACCCTTTAAGTCTTTCCCCCGCCTTGTGGCATGAAATGTCATAGTAAAGAAAAGAAACTATCAGGGAGAACTAGATGACATGCAGACAAGGTCTTTGTGGTAGCCCTGGTCCTCCTAAGTCCATAAGCAGATACGTTTGGGTGTTCACAACTCTATTGAGCTAAAAGTGCCCTCCACTGAGGTGCTGACACCGGGTAACAAGGACATGTTTACTTCTTGGGGATCTTTAGTGTTAGAGATTTAATATCACCAAGGAGGAGACACACATGTCAGTCCACTTGCAAGTGAGATAGGAGGTTGAAAATCACTGATTAGGACGCCCCTTGCCAGAATCAGGTACGAGAGCCCTGGGACATTCTCAAAGTGCTAGAGTGGCTCCAAGTATGAGTCAGAAGAGGTTTACACCAGGGTGAGGGAAAGAAAGGAACCACACTGTGGTTCTCTCTACTCCCGCTAACCTAACCATGTCCTCAGTTCTCTACACGTTAACATCACTCTCCTGTGTGCTATTGCTAAGATATAGTCACACTTTGGAAAAAACCCTTAGCCAGATAGTGGTGGCACACACCTTTAATCCCAGAACTCAGGAGGCAGAGGCAGGTGGAACTCTGTGAGTTGGAGGCCAGCTTGGTCTACAGAGCTGATTCCAGGACAGTGAAGGCACACAAAGAAACCATGTCACATAGTTGAATATTTCCAGGGCAATATGTACATAAGCAATACATCTAGGTGTGTGTGTGTGTGTGTGTGTGTGTGTGTGTGTGTGTGTGTGCACTACAACGTGAAAAACAAGCAAGTGTTGTCGCAGGAGGCTCAGTAACTAGCCTTGTAGATAAGAACAGCTGCTCATAGTTTTAAAGTAATCTAGTTTTCAATAACTGCCATATTTCCTGTTTTAAGTTTAGTTTTGTCTAAGGTAGTGTCTTCTATGTAGTCTAAGCAGGCTTTGAAGTTATGAGCCTTATGCCTCAGCCTCTCAAGTGCTGAAATTATAGATGTCAGTCAGTCACCACGCTTGGCATATTACCTTTTCTTAATTACTTAACCATATTTCTTTATTTCTGTGGTTTTTAAAATAAATTAGGTAACTAAAGCTTAAATGTAAGTTTTAGTGCATTTATCCTCTAAAATTCAATTAAAAGATGGGGATACCAGGGCTCAAAAGAAGCTCTCAGAAACTGTGCTCAGTATAAATGATAGATCACCAATAAAAAAATGAGCAAATACTGCTCAGAATGAACTGTAAGCAAGGAGCCACAGCAGCACAAGGAAACAATTACATAATGGATGGTACCAGAAAGCAGGACGGACATACAATCATGCTTGAGTGTGGGAGGTAAGTGGTAAAAGACTTGTTAAGAGGCAGACATGGAACACAGATTAGTCACTTGTGGCTCAGCACAGGGGCGCGGAGCAGCTGATATCCCTTCCCTGTGTTCTTCCATGAGCAATCAGTGCACACATATGTACATCTTTGCTTTAATACAATCGCAATCAGACCAAACACATACAGATTTTGACAGCAAGGACACCTCCTTTAAAAGAGGCACATCAGTCCACTGCCCAGAGAGGCTGCAGTGTATTTAGGATGTCACCTGCAGCTGGCAGCTGTGCAGGTTCCCTAGCAGACTGGCAGAGCCCACAGATGTCTCATCACCTGGGATTCACTCTGAAGTCAAAATATGCCCTCAGTCATATGACCCTTCTTACAACACAGAAGATGACTGTCTGGAAGAGTACACCCCGGTAGTTACTACTATGTATGGCTTCAAGCCAAGACTGACCTGTTTAGGCAGATCTATACTCAGAGCATGAAGAGATGTCCGAGTCTTACTGTGCCGCCTGCAAAAATAGAATATGCTGTGAGGTTCACTCCCATCTCCATATCTGTCATCATCCTTCTCACCATGTATTTCTAGAATCCCAAGTTTGTATTGTATCCACAACAAAAGCTCACATAAGAACATGACCAAGACAGGGCGACAAGCTAGAAACTGGCAGCATAAAATTAAAAAAGGCATAAAATTTTATTTGCATACTAATGGAAATTATATATAGACATAAATTTCCACGTGAGTTTCAGGTTGCTTACCATACTATTAAGGTCAGTGTTACTGTCAACATGACAGGTCTGGAATCACTTATGGGGACAAGTCTGTGAGGGTCATTTAGCTCCTGGGTATGCCTGTGAGAATTATGGTGGTTATGATAACCCCCCACTGTGGATGGAATCCTCCCTGGGAGAGGATCCTACACTTGAGGAGACTGAGCTGAACAAAGGCACCCAGCACTCTGCTTCCTGACTGTGGCAGCATTGTCAAAGTATGTGTCTTTGCTCCCCCACTGTGACTGCTGGGACCAGAACAAGCCTTCTCTCCTCCTCAAGCCGCTGTTGTCAGCTATTACATCACAGCAATGGGAAAGAAACTGAGATGCCATGGAGAACCATCATATACAAAATGAGCTATATAGTTTAGAAACTATAAATTGATTATCCCCACAAAGACATTACAAACCCATTTTCTTTAAAAAAAAAAAAGACAAAACCCAAAAAACTCAGCATTGAAATACATGTTTGTGCTTTTAAAACGCCATTTATTCAAGTAAATATTTAAAACAAGCTGGACATGGTGGCACATGCTTTTAATCCTGGCAATCAGAACGAGTCAGTAGGATTTCTGTGAGTTCAAGGCCAGACAGGGCTACATGAGTTCCAGGGTAAACAAGACTACATAGCAAGACTCTGTTTTTCAAAGGGGGAAGGGCTGGAGAGATGGCTCAGCAGTAAAGAGCACCAGATACTCTTCCAAGAGGATATGGGTTCAAGAACAAGCATGCATGTGGCAGCTTGCAACCATCTGTAACTGCAGTCTTAGGGGATCTGACACCCTTTTGGCCTCTGAAAGCACTGCAGGCATGTGATGAGCAGACATAAGACACCCATAAAAACTTAAACACTTTAAGGACATATACTTTATAGCATGAACACCAGAATTTACCTTTCATATGGAATTCTCTTCATCCCGCCGTCTTTGACATAATCTACTAGTTGTTTCTGAGTTCTTCCGCTACAAATAAAGGCTCAGTTAAAAACAAACAGCGATTCACAATATTAACTTTTGCAGTTAGGAACAGAAGACTGTCCATTCTCTCCCAGAAACATGTATAAATAATCCAAAGTTATACTTTATAGTAAGCATAGCCAATTTTCTAGGTAGTTTTTTAAAAGTCTATTTTCTCATACTTTGAATATTTATTTGATTTTTTTCCTCGATGTGTTGTCCTTCACAAAACTCTTGAATACAACTATCTGCCAGCCTGTGATGCTTCCCTCCGTCTATGACGCCTCCCTCTCACTCCCCTTTCTCCAGCACTCAGCCTGCCTGGCAGCTGAGGTTAGCCCTACCTGTATCTGAAGGATGAGCCCCGGCTGAAGAAGACAGCTTTTGCCTTTGGCTTAGGCTGATCAGAAAGCCTAAAAAAGGTGTGGTATTCCACACATATCTTCCAGAAGTTCTTACATTCATCTCTGCTGCCCAACAAGAACTCTAATGTGTCCTGGTAGGGTCCCTAGAAACAAAATACAAAGTTCAAGAAGCAAATGCAACAATAAAGTACTGGAAAACAGAAAGCAGCTTCAAAATTAAAATCTAGAATGGGGCGTGGTGCATGCCTTAGATAACTACAAGTTATAGTTTTCAGGCTCTAGCATGTGTCAACATGGAGAAACCATTGCTGTCTGCCTCTTTGATTTCTTGGGATAGATTCCTAGAAATAAAACTCAGAGCTCTAAGACCATGTGCATGTTGAATCTTACAACTGTAATACTTCAGATCTTCTACTTAGTCTTAAAAAACTAGGTAGCTGGGTAGTGGTGGTGCATACCTTTAATCCCAGTACTTAGGAGGCAGAGGCAGGTGCATCTCTGAGTTTGAGGCCAGCCTGGTCTACAGAGTGAGTTCCAGAACAGCCAGAGCTGTTTACGCAGAGAAACCCTGTCTTGAAAGAAAAAAAAAAAACAAAGAGGGAGAGGAAAAGAGAGAGGTAGAGAAAGAAAGTGAGAGACAGAGAGAGGGAGAGGGAGAGAGAGACACACACACAGAAAAACAAACAAAAAAACCTAGATGTTTAGGGATTTAAATGTAACTTTAAAGCATGCCACTCCAATAGTTGTTTCCATAAACTGAACAGTGTAGCAAGCTTTCTTTTGGATTCCCTGAAAGTGGAGCTACAGACAGTAATGAACCACCATGTGGGAGCTGGACACTGAGCCAGGTCCTCTGCTGAGTAATCTCTTTGGCCTCCAAGATCATTAAAAGCACCTGAAGACTGGGGAGGCCCCTTAGCTCTGTGTGGACAGAAAGTCCTCACCATACATTGTTGACAGGTTCAGATTACTCTCAACATATGCCTTCCTAGGCCCAGGGTGAACTGGAAACCCTCAAGGTAGGAAGTGATAAGTTCCCCAGAGAGGCAACATGGGCATGCTGGACACTCGTCCCCATCTTGACTCTGAACCTAAATCCCTTTAAATTATTAAATAGCTGATCCTGAAATGATTTGTAAAGCAGGGTTTTTAGAGACAAGAGTCTCTAGTCCAACTCCCTGGGTAGCCAGGGATGACCTTGAACTTCTGACCTTTCTGTCTTTGCCTCCAGAGTGCTAAGATTATAGATGTGTGCCCCAACTGTATCACCAAATGTTTAATATTCTGTAAAGTTAAATTGCCTAACAATGAAAGTTCAAAAATAATACTCACGTGAACTTCTGGATGGAGTTTGATAAGAAACCTTTTCCTCTTGAAGCTTAGTTTCCGGACCTTGGACCAGTTGAAAGTGTTGATTTTGGTGGTTCCCTGAAACATCACAGACAGACACATGGCACATTTGGAATGTAAGGACAGTGGCCTTTTCTCACAGAGTAGAATCTGCTTAAGTTACATTCTTAATAAGCAGGAGAGCAAGTCGAGTGTGCATGACCATTTCACCTAGAACAGCTCTGAACCTAAATGCCAACATCAAATAAAGCATCTATTTTCTTAGGCACAACTTTATTACAAATTTTAAAAACCAATGGTAACAGTACACATTTTGAAGTTCCCCCCCAACAAAGGGAAGTAAGTGTCTGGAAGAGGTAGTGGTTGTGGCTAGGCTGGCTGGGAGGGGCGTCAGGTTCCTTCCCAGGGAAAAGGCAGGAAGATGACCCTAGAATGCACTAGAATGCACTGTAGTTAAAGAAAACTTCTGTTTTCCATAGATGGTCATATGCAAAACCAAATACAGACATGCAACCAGTGCACAGATATGTAGCTTTCAGAGTGCTTAGAAATGATTCCCTAAGAAGTAATGGGCAGATCTGCTGGCCAGATCTTGGTTTCTTTCTTTAAATTTCTTTTTAGCCAGGCAGTAGTGGCGCACACCTTTAATCCCAGCCTGGGGAGGCAGAGGCAGGTGGATCTCTGAGTTCCAGGCTAGCTTCATCTACAAAGTGAGTTCCAGGACAGTCAGAGCTGTAACAGAGAATTTTTTTTAAACTAGGGCCAGCAGGGGCCTTTATTAGCTGAGCCATTTTGCAGGCCTAATCCTATTTCTAAATTTGTAACTATTGTTCTATCTTGTTTTCTCTAGCATTCTGGTTTGTATTTGGGGGTTGATGTTTTCTCTGTGACAGCAACACACTGACAAAGCCAGAGCAGTGAGTCCACAGTAAAACCTCCCTCTCATTCTTGACCAGTAAATTACCAGTTTAATTTGTATGGAGCAGTGTGTGTGTGTGTGTGTGTGTGTGCGCGCGCGCGCACACACACATGGGTGTAGACATGCTATGGAATGTTTGTGAAGGTCAGAGGACAAGTTGCAGAAGTCAGTTCTTTTCTTCCTCCATGTGGGTTGAGGATCAAATTCATGTCATCAGGTTTGGCAGCAAGCAAGCTTACCCAATGAGTCATTATGCTGCCATGCTAATTTTTTCTTTTTTGAGGCTGGCCCTGAACTTGAGATCCCGATTCAGCTCCTGAACCATTGGGATTACTGCATCACGGTGTCAGTGGTAACTGCACTGTGATTATGTAAAAGAGCACCTTATCCATAAGAAATGCATATAAAGGTCTGAGGTGAGGATTGTGTCACTTATTCTAAGAAGACACTGTGTGGAAGAAGCCGGGACTGAGTGCATCAAAGTGCTGACAAAGGTGGGTCCAGGTTATGGACAAATGGGGTTTTCTGTGCTGTCCTAATGCTCAGCTTCCAGAGAAGCTTCCACACTAGTGCTGCTGTTGCAGGTATTGGCATTAGCACCTATAGGTGCTGGACAGTTAGGCTTTTCAAAGAAGCCTCCAGGGTCCTGTCAATCTGGCCAGCATTCCTGGGAGCTGACACATGGAAGCCTGTGTCACTTTCTAACTGCAGGTTTTTCCTGGGGTTAACCTCTGACACAGACCATGGTGGGGAGACCCCCATATTGCTGTAGCACAGGGAATGTATGCTGCATCTGTCAGCCTTCATGCAGACAAACCAGACCTCTTCTTTTCAGGTCCACTTTGTCTAACTCTGAGCTCCCTGTCATCGAAAGCTCTCATAGCTCAGCAGAGTTCTTACCTCCAGAATGTTCACAGTCCCTAGACAAGATCCTGAGTATCAGTTTAAGATCCCAACATTAGAATGAATAACAGAACAGTGGTCAGCCCTTGTGGTGGTGTGGGTTGTGAGTTCCAGGACAGTGAGCAGAGTTTCACTGTTCAAGAGAAGGACAACAAAGCAGCTTCCTCATTGCTAAGAGGTCGGTCAGATCAGATAAGCTAAGTTTCTCTCCACAGACAGCACTCACTCATCACAACAAAACCCCACCAACAAATGCTGCAATTCATTGTGCCCCAGGGCTCTGGGCTGCTTCGGCCCCTCCCTGTCCTTCCACCTACCTGGAACACGAGGACACCCATGTGAGAAACTGAAAGATTAATCTTGGTTCCTTCTCTATCAGAAGCTGTGTGAAATCTGATCCCATACATTTCCAACTTCCTTGCGATCTCCAGCACCTGGAAATCCGATTCTGCGGGTGTCTGACCCCTATAATCAAAGACATTTTAACATATCAAACACCCGTCTTCTAAAGCATCTAAGAAAGTGGGACAGGAAAGTCAGATAGAGGCAGCCAACAAATCAGTGTGGAAGGTTTTGTTTTTAGAGGTTTTATGGCTCATGTCTATGCATTTACCCACTACAAAACTAACATACCATATATGGAGGTCAAGGAAATAGGTTCCTTCTATGCCAGTCTTTTATCTTCTTATTCTAAAAAATCTACTTGTAAAAGGTAGAATGTTTCATCTGAATTCACTAAATGATCACTTTTACAACTTACTTTAAGTTATATGCAAACAACACATCTAGCTAACAAATAGTGACCTGGAGGAAATGCCCTAAATGATACTGTATCTTTCTCATCATTGAAAAAAAACTGAATTTACTGAGTGGTGGTGGTGCATGCCTTTAATCCCAGCACTTGGAAGGCAGAGGCAGGCGGATCTCTGTGAATTTGAGGCCAGCCTGATCTACAGAGCGAGTATCAGGACTTCTAGGGCTACACAGAGAAATCCTACCTTGGGAACAACGACAACAACAAAAATAACTGGATCAAATCACATAAAGGTCTCCTAACATGCTATCAGTCCACAGGCCAGGTTACATCACCAGAGAACAGAAGTGAATCTGGCCAATGTCCTATTGAGCAGCCTTCAGGAAAGTGATGCTCACACGGAGTCACATCTGGGTAACTACATTTCCCCACTTCTAACCAACTTACGTGTGCCTCTGATGGAAGTCTAGGATCTTTTCCAAGGATTTCTCCTGGTTGGGCAAGTACTCATTGGCTTTGAGGTGTTCTCGATCCAGGGCTTCATCATAATCTCCTATCTCCGCTGAGATGAGACATAGGAAGTTAGTCACTTGGATTTCGAAATAAATGATAGGCATTGATCATGCAAATGCTTTATATTTTATTTTTCCCAATATTATGCTGTTCAAAGGTAAACACGGAAAAGGTAAAGGGACTTTCCTTTCCCAACTTGTGAGGACCAAAAATTCTTATGAGAGTTTATCATGAACCCTGAGTATAATGACCATTTTATTTTACTTTCTAAAAGATTTTTTAAAAGTTAATGTGTATTAGTGTTTCACCTGCATATGAATGTAGCATGTACATGTAGCATGTGCATGTACCACATGTATGCAGAGCTTAAGGAAGTATGTACTCCTGGAACTGGAGTTGCAATGGTTACAAGCCACCATGTGAGTGCTGAGAACAGAACCCAAGGCTTCTGCATGAGCAGCCAGTGCTCTTAACCTGTGAGTCATCTCTCTATCCCTAGTTTACTAATTTCTTGTTTGAGACAGGGTTTCTCCATGTAACAGTCCCCTGTCCTGGAACTCTATAGACCAGGCTAGCCTTGAAGTTCAAGATCTGCCTGCCTTTGCCACCCAAGTGCTGGGATTGCACTACCACCACCTGGCTTCTATTTTTTTTCCAAGACAGGGTTTCTCTGTATTGTTTTGGAGGCTGTCCTGGAACTAGCTCTGTAGACCAGGCTGGCCTTGAACTCACAGAGATCCACCTGCCTCTGCCTCCCGAGTGCTGGGATTAAAGGCGTGTGCCACCAACGCCTGGCCTCTGGCTTCTATTTTTAAAAATCAGATTATACATATATTGCCTCATGAATACTATAATCACAGTAATTGTTTTGCTTTAGAAAATGCATGCTTAATCATTCTTAAAATCCTTCAGGGTTTTTCAATTTTTCAAAAATCTCCTAAATGTATTAATTTTTTAAAAATGTATTTGTTTTTATTGCCGTATGTGAGTGTTTTGCCCATACATAATAAGTGCCCCCTGACATGGCCTCAGCTTTAGTCTAGAAACAGTGTGTCTTCCCTCTCTATTCCTATGGCTTCATATGTCCTGTAAAACATGCACCATGTCTTGGAATCTCTTGCTACACTTCTCACAGTTTATTTCTGAAGCTAGTTTAGTTTTTATATCCTTCTCCAACACCTTTTGTTCCTTATAAGACACTAAAGGCATGTACTCTCTTCCCTTTAGTGTTAATGTTTGGACAGCAATGACTGTAACTCACCCTTAGGAGGCCTCTTTCTGGGTGTGCTGAGAATCTGATTTGTAGTCTGACTCTAAATTGACTATTTATTGCTGTTAAACTGGATAAAGGTAGATGGGGCATGGAGACAGAGGTCAGTCTGGAGTATACAAGTTAAGGTCAGCCCAAGTTGTTTAAGAATATAAACAACAGAAACAAAACATCCGAGGGCTGGTTCTGTGGTTTAGTGACAGAATGTTTGCCTAGCATGTGCAAGGCTCAGTGTTCTTTCCCAGCTCTGAGAAGGGAAAGAGAAAGCACAAAGACAAACAGGAGACAACTTGAGAGAATGAATCTAACTACAGATTTTGGCTCTGAGTCTATATGCAGAGTTCTTTGCTTCCAGGCGTGGTACATTACAGAAGTTAGCTTTCATCTTATCAAGAATAGGTCTCAATAGAAGTGCCCATTTTTTTAACCAGTCTTGTCAATTACACATGAGCACCAACGAGTAGTGGCAACTCTGTTGGTGTCTGCAAGCTTCTTCCCGCGGTGAAGACACTAACCCTGCAGAAGGTGGGACGTGAGAAGGGCTGCGGTGGTGGCAGCACAGCTCAGGCGCTCTTCCAGGAGGTCTCTCTTGAGTTGCAAGGCAAACAGGTACCTAGCAAGGAGTTCAAAGCAAGAGAAGATCAACTCCGAGAGTTCTCTGAACACAATACAGACAAGCCTCTCTGAGAGCACACAGCTCTGGGGAGCAGCACCCAACACTGAACACAATGTTGCGCCCTCAAACAGGCCAAGCCACAAAAGCTCTTTCACACAGCAAGCAGACATCAAAGGTCAGAAGGCAAGTCTCAGTAGACTCTGCCCTGCACACACAGAGTGCTCAGCACACAGAGAACTGTCCAGTCATAGGACAGAGAAATTAGCCTTCCAGGCATAGCACTCTGAGGTAATACCTTCAACAAGGAAGTTCATAAATTCATTCTACAGAATGTCACTCACAGGTTTGGATGAAAGAACAGAAGTACACAGTTAAGATAGCTTCAGATTCGCTGTGACACTTTGAAGCAGATTGATAATACACAGTTTTGGTGAGGACCCAAGACACAGTGCTTTAAAATACCACTGATATTTTAAATATGAGAATGTCAAATGTCAAATGTCAATTGGAAAGCACTTCTGAGACCAATTACGATGGCACACACTTTTAATCCCAGCACTCTGGAGGCAGAGGTAAGTGTATCTCTCTCAGTTCAAGGCCAGTTTAGTCTACATAGTGAGTTCCAGGAAAGCCAGAGCTACATAATAGTCAGACCCTGTCTCAAAAAAAAAATTGAGTAGATAGGTAGGTAGGCAGATGGAATGGATGAAAAAAAGAAACTATTTACATCTAAATTTATTCCTTCAATAAATGAAGGTTAAGTAGTTTTTTCTAAGTACTGTTCTGGGAGTTGCAAAACATGAATAACACAAAGTCTCTGTCTTCACAGAAATTTACACTTTAGTACAAACTATAAAATTTTTTTTAAGACTTGGGAATGGAGAGATGGCTCAGCAATTAAGAGCACTTGTTGTTCTTCTGGAAGACCAGATTTCAATTCCTAGCACCCACATTGTGGCTCACAACTCTTCTCTAACTCCAGTAATTAACATCTAACACAGGTGATTTGATGACTAGGTGGTCATGTGGCACACAGAAACTCATGCAGGCAAAGCACATATATGCAAAAAAATGTACTACATCCTCTCTTTTCTGAAAACAGAAGGAATGCTCCATGAGCCTGCACATCATCATTGTGCAGATGCCGTGTTAATCCCACACCCTTCCAATCTTAGTGTACACCGGCTGAAAGGGGCACTTGCACTCTCTTAGAATTTAGATGTGCTCTCTCTAACTGGGCAGCTCCATGCTAACAGCTTTTCCACAGCACTATTCCCAGAGTTCACAAAGGCATGTCAACAGTGACATTTGTGATATTTTAACAGAAAAACTGAGACTAAGTCCCAAATACTCTAAGATACTAATGACTAAATAAGTGAGGTGCCAGTCTACACACAGTGTAAAAGACCATGGATTGCTAAAAAGGGGTGGGGGAGTTTCAACTTACAGTTCACATATATCACTGGATAGTTCTTTGTAACATAATTTTCTTAAGACTCTATTTTTTGTTCACTGACAGTTCACATGTATCACTGCATAGTGCTTTGCAACATAATTTTCTTAAGATTTTATGCTGTGTTCACTGAAAGACTGCAACCCTCCGGAAGATTTCTGCCCAGTGTTAGTACTTACCTGGGGAGGAAGGACAAGAAAAAGTAACTCTGTTTTTTTATAACTTTACTTGAAATTTTCTTTTTTGTCACAGATATACTTTTAATAAATTAAAGGGGAAAAGGACCTTCTGAATGAAAACAAGAGAGGAATAATTGAGTTCCTAGGGCTGGGGTACTGGTGGAGTGCTCACCAAGTGCATGAAGCCCTGGGTTCCATCCCTAGCACCATTTAAACTGGCTGTGGTGGCCAAAGCCGAGAGTGTAACACTGGGGAAGTGGAAACAGAGGGTCACCTCAGCTATACAGAGAGTTAGAGGTCAGCCTTAGTCACAAGAACCTTTGCAACAACAAAACAAAAACAAACAAAATAATACACCGCCCCAAACTTGAACCTAATACTCAGACCCAGGACCCTCAATTGGAGAATATTTTTGTTTAATTTGGGAGAATATGGCTTAAAGTGATTCCCATTCTAAAGGGTACCCATAGGGCGTCTTGGATTTCAGTCAATCACCAAGGTGTGTTTTATGTCCACTGACAGTAGCACTGCTTTGCTAGCTACAGTTCAATCTGCTCATCAACCTAAGAACAAGAGGCTGGGATGACGTCACTTTCCTTTCTTTGCACCTGACATTCTGAGAGTCTCTGGGTGTCCCATGATCCACAGAACCTTTAAGAGGGGTTCACTGTGACTCACAATCCTGGTCCAGTCAGGACTTAAGAGTCATTTTGGGACATTATAATATCCTGTGTTCTCTTTCATCTGCATCTGATCCAGGGTTTTGAGCCTGTTAGATCAGGGCTCTGGCCTCAAACTCAGGGATATGGCTGCTGCTGGGATTAAAGGTGAGCATCACCAAGCCTGGTTTGAATCTAATTTAAAGTTGTTGCTTTATTTCTCATTTTAAAATCAATACACATATGCATAAAAAGCACAAAGAAGATTTCCTCATCTTTACCACCTACAGGACTACTGTTAACATTTTCTGCCAGTAATTTCTGCAAAAAGCAACCTATAATTAGGGAGGTAATGGAAATTTCCTTATATCCCTGCCCAACTCATTCTATGTCACTATTCATGAGAATTACTGCATGGCATACACCTTCCACTTAACATTTATATGACCAGAATTTTGACAAATTTTACTGGTAAGCATAAATCTAAGCCACCCAGCGAATAGTGGTTTGAAACTGTTCTAGCACTCCATCCAAGTTTTATTTCCAGTTGAAGGTACACGTCCTCCTTCTAAGTCTGCTTCACATTTGTGTCTGTAAGAACCAGATGCTAAGAGGCTTCTCTTATCTGTATTTACTGCTATAAAATATTTATTTGGGAATAACATGTCACACACATGCACGTGGAAGAGGGAGGACGACTTTGGAAAGCCATTTCTCTCTGTTCACCATGGTTCTGGAGAGTGACTCAGGTCAGCTGGTTTGGCAGCAAGGACCTTTACCCACACTGAGACATTCAACCTGTTTTCATTCATTCATTCATCCATTCATTCATTCATTTTGTGTGTGTGTGTGTGTGTGTATTAATGCACTAAAGATAAACTTAGAGGTAACAAAATGTGTCAATGCTGCATTAAGGAATGAAAACAGAAACTTCATTTGTATTTATTTGACCAAGAACAAGCCCAAATTTGAACTCCCCACCACTTTCCTTGTATCTTCCTCTGTCACACTTTGTGGTTACTGATCAATCTGTGATCTGTCATTGTATATATTTGTGCCTGCCTAAATAAATACTGTCTAATGTCTGACTGTCCCTTAGGTCTGTCTGTCCCCTAACAAAGAAATTGGGTCTGAATGTACTGAACTACACACACACACACACACACAAACAAAAAACAGCACATGAAAGGGATGAGGGATCCCTTACAGAAATCTTTAACAGAGTTCTACAAGGGGAGTCATTTTACCGATCTAACTCACTCAGGCAAACAATATCCATGTTTTCCAACATTTATGATGAATACTTATTTTATAAGGTTGCTTCTGGTCTGTTGGCTGCTTTCAGCAGATAGTAACCACAACACACGTACTATCTGTGCTGGGGGCATGGAAGAGGACACAGCTTAAGACTGAAGCCATTAATTAGCCTAGGTTGTAAACACAGACTGCATGGGAAATCTAAGGCTGGTTGATATGATGTTCTCATAAAGGCAGGTTAAACACAGTAGGAATAGGACAGGCTACGTTGGCTTTTTATCAATTTCACACAGGTTAGAGTCATTTGGGAAGAGGGCACCTCAACTGAGAAAATGCCCTCACTAGAATGGTCTGTGAGCAAGGCTGTGGTACATTTTCTTGATTAATGATTAGTGTAGGTGAGGCCATCCCACAGGTTGAGGGGTTGTAAAACAGGCTGAGCAAGCCAAGAGAAGCCAGCCAGGACCCAGCATTTCTCAGCTTCAGTTCCTGCCTCAGAGTTCCTACCCTGAATTCCCTCAGAGATGGAGTGTGACCAGAGAGTTTTAAGATGAAATAAACTGTCTCCTCCCCAAGGAAAAGGTTTTGCTTTTGCTCATTTTTTTTTCCCAGCAATGAAAATCCTAACTAAAACGAAGGTAAAGCTTATGTGACCTCAAAATGTATCATTAATTTGGCTGTGGGGGTCCAGCAAAAATTCAATCTCTCAGGATGCAAGAAATATTTTCATAAAATTATAGCACTAAAATAACATATCTTAATACTTTTTGCAATAAATAAACAAAATGTAGCAGTAATACAGTCCCGCTACACTCAGTGACAGACACAGCCGTGCTCACTCCTGTAAGGGGCTCACACAGAAGTCTCTGACCAGGCTGAGTGCTCTACCTTGTGTTCTCTTCCTGCAACTGACCAGGGTCCGGAGGGAAAAACTTCACTGCCACACGAAGAACTGAATTCTTTGGCCCTATAAAGATAAAATAAAATTTCACAGATAAGGTACATCTCCATATTTGTTTTCTCTATAATAAAATATTAATGCAATTTCCTATGCTCACATTTATGTATTGAGAAATTTTAATATTTTGTTTTAAGCAGATATTACTTGGGAAAATATTCTAAAGTAGGTGGGAAATTACCCATTGAAACTTTAAAATTAATACCAGGCATGTCGGTGTACACTTTTAATCCCAACATTTAAAAGGCAGAAGGAGGTGGGTATTTATGAGTTCAAAGTCATCTGGGGTTACACAGTGAGACCCTGACTCAAAAAGAGAAAGAAAAAAAGCTATAGAGGATATAGTTAAGTTGGTAAAGTGTGTCTATCACACACAAGATACTGGGTTCCATCCCCAAGACCACATTAAAAACCAGGTGTGGTGTGTATGCCTGAACCCCAGCACTGGAGAGGTAGAGACAGGTAGAGGCAGAATGATCAGGAGTTCAAGGTCATCCTTAGATACATAGCAAACTTGAGGCTAGCCTGGACTACATGAGATCCTTTCTCAAAAAATAAAATTTAATTATAACAGGTATGGTGGCCCATGGCTGTAACCCTAGCACTGGGGAGGGGGTTGGCAGTAAGATTGCTGTGCATTTGAAGCAATCCTAGGCTAGACAATAAGTCTGAGGTTAGCCTGGGCTACAGAATAAGACCCTGGCCCTGAAAACAAAAGCAGTATCAACAATGAATTTAAACGACAAAAAATATGGGCCAGGCATATGAGGAAGCTGAGGCAGGAGGATAATGAGTTCAGGACTTGTCTGAGCTACAAAAAGGGACCTTGTCTTGAAAATGAGCAAATACTTAGAATAAAATACATTCCTGTTTATATTTTAGGATAAAATTACATTAAGGTGCTTATACCATTATATTATCATAATAAAAACATATTAGAGAGAGAAAAATGTCACTGGCACTTACTAACGGAACTACAACAATCTGATTCTGCAAAAGGCACCAAAGCAAAAAGTCTGTTAAGTGCAGAAGTGCTTGCTTGCATGTATGTATGTGCCCAGCATGTCTGTCTGTGCCCTGGAGGCCAGAGGATGGTGTCAGGTCTCCTGCACTGGAGTTGCAGGCAGTTATAAGCCTCCTTGTGGGCAGTAGGTTCTGCAAAAGCAGCAAGCCCTATTAACCATTGAAATATTTCTCTAGTCTTAAAAGAAGCCTGGCAATGTCTTCTCGTGACTTAGAAGGAAACCTATGTTTTTCCTAACATATTGACCCACAATTAAAATACCAAGGAATAAATCCCATGACTTTCAAATTTAAGGCAAGTTATCTATGACTACTTTTGTTAAATCTAGTGTCCTTATGGCTGTTTACTGTAATTTAAAACCAGCCAGCAAAGTGACTTCAAGATTATTCGCTGTGATGATTACCACCTATAGGGAGCTGTAACTATTAACGACGGTGAGCACACTGGAATTTGCCATCCCAGGATAAGGCACTTACTTCGTACTTGCCTAATGATGGGCTTCATGGGTTCAAGCCAAATCTAAACAAGGTTTTTAACAGAAGAGAAGACAACTATTAACAATTTCCTCATTTAGTAAGCATGCTAAAAAAATACAATAATTAATTAGAAGATTTTATGACAGGATATTTTCTTTTGTTCTCTTACATGTTAATTATATCTTAACAAGCTGTATCAGTAGCTCAGCAATGCCTGCTTCAAGAAGCTGCAGTAGCATTAATGTGCTGTAACTCTGTAACACTAATTTGGATAACTCTACAGTCGCAAACAGAACCAGGTGTAAGAAGCAGCAGACTGATGAGATGCTGCTATGTGAAAGGTGTCTGCTGTGTATCAGAGCAGAAAAACTCAGGCAAACCCACCTGCTGCTGGGGGCTGAGACAGGACAGAGCACAGCAGCAACACACTTTCTGATCTATAGGACTGATGAGGTTTTTGTTTTTAAAACAGTCACATCTATAAATAATAACATATCACACTTTTTACATTTCAATAAGTAAAATAATGTAAAATCAGTCCAATTTGCTCAAAATCACCTTGCAACACAGTTCAGATCTAGAAAGATGTGTTAATGATTGCCATGGCAACTCAGGTTTCCTTGGCACAGGTGCTAGGAGTAGAGTGAGTTTAGGGAGAATATGCATTTAGGCTTAAAAGCAGGTATATTCCTCACAGGTGAGAATCAAGTACTTTAATATCATAACTAAGAATAATGTGTCACTTACCAAACATCTTGTTTACATCATTATAGTATGACCTAAAAGGCTTTTTGTACACCATGGACACCATGATTGTTCTACAACACAGTCAAATCCAGTTTCCAAAGCAAATAAAAAACACATACCCAGTAGGACTGGACATTCTTAAACTCCAGACCAAAGTAGTCACATTCAATCAGGTTCAAATGCTTCCACACTTGTGTCAGTAAGACCTGTCCATCACACTTAGGCTGCAAGGAGACAGGTGAGAAAACACTCACTGATTGTATGGGGAACAACAAAGGTTTGTAAAAACTGGCATAAAATCACATGTTCCACATAAAGTTTTGTTGAATTTCTTGCTTCATTTTGTCTTTGTGTGTATAAGATTCACAGACTATTACATAGCAAACAAATGGATCTTTTGCTTAGAAACTGATAGCAAAGTAAATATACAAACAAAAACTATCTTATATTCTTAGTGTGTTTAGTCATATTTCTTTGTGATTTTAGACCACAGTAACTATTCCTAGTTTCAGTAAATGTTTTATCAAATAATTTGTCAATATAATTTACCAATAAAAAGCAAAGTTCCAAAATCTATTTATGTAGTGTTCCAGTGAGTAATTTACTATTGGATAGTATTCACATACTGTGTAGCCTTGGCTGTCTTGGAACTCACTTTGTAGACTGGTCTTGAACTCAGAGATCCACCTGCCTCTGCCCCCCCAGTGCTGGGATTATAGGCATATACCACCACTGCCTGGCTGAAAAACTTTTGAACACAGAGATCTTCAGCAAATTATAATAATCTACAATCAATCTGAATTACTACAATTTATCTTCTACCCACACATAAGCTGAGGAAGTAAAACAAATGGAGTTTAGTGGTTAATAAATTAGTACCTGCGGTGGTGGCGCATGCCTTTAATCCCAGCACTTGGGAGGCAGAGGCAGGCGGATCTCTGTGAGTTCGAGGCTGGGCTGGATGGACAGCCTCCAGTGCAATATAGAGAAACCCTGTCTCGTAAAAACCAAAATAAAATAAAGTAAGTTAGTGCCAGGATAAATTAAAACAGAGACTTCATTTATCCTAGGGGATGAGTAGACATGTCTGTGAGGCACTCCCACTTAGTGATGAGACTGTAAAAACAATCTGAGGAGAGATGTTTCCATGGTGTTACATGTGGATGTCAAAGCATAGCTTTGTGGAGGTGAATTTCTGCTTTCACCTTTACATGGCTTCTGTGGGTCCTGAGGGTTGAACTTAGGTTGTCAGACTCAAGGGTATCTTGCTGGCCCTATTTTTTAAAACTGGGGTGTGGGAGCATGCTGCTGCACACCTCTTATCCCAACATTCAGGAGACAGCAGGCTGACTTCTCTGAGTTGGACACCCAGCTGGTCTACATAGTGAGTTCCATACAAGCCAGGGTTACACAGTAAGACTTATCTCAATAAACAAACAACTACAAAAAAAACCTTTAATATTTATTATAAATTCGTATGTGTAGCCCTTGAGGAGGAAATTTGAAAATAATTTTCAAAGTTTAATATGTATTTATCTGTCCCAACAACTCTACCTTTAGAACTTTTCCATACAGACCATCTCATAAACTGCACAAAGCTAATTACACAAGGACACATCAGTAGAGGATTGGCCAAATGAGTAATTGTAGCAAGCTCCTGGCTGTAATCTTAACACCTGGGGAGGTTGAGCCACGGGAACTGCTGTCGAGTCTGAGGCTAACCTGGCATACATAGTGAGTTCCCCGGTAAGCTTGGCTCAAAAAAACAAGCAAACCAACCCCAAATAAATAATAACACAACCATGATGAAAAGAAAACACAGAACCCTTTACATACTATGGAATAAAGTCCAAAGCACAAAGATTAAGTAAGAGGAAATTTAAAGTTCTCTATGTTCACACAGTCCATGTAATGATTCTGTCTTATATATAGCACTTACAAATGGCTAAATAACAAATTGAAGGTTGCACCCAAATCTTTAAGAAAATTATCATTACTGCACCGGATAGAAGCAGAAGCAAGACTTTATTTCTTTATTCCTGAGATGCTGGACAATCTTTTCTTCAGTTAAAAATATACAAGTAGGGGAGAGGCAAACCTTCAGTATTCCAAAGCACACCACGCCCCCTAGAAGTTACCTAGCAGATTGTCTGTATAACCAGTGGTTATGCTCTTAGGAAGAAAATTATTTGAAGGAAACCCTAAATTTGTAATAACAAAGAAGTATAGAGTAAAAATATGCAATGGGAACCTTAAAAGAGAAGGACTATAGAGTGAACTTACAAGTATCTTTTTGGGTGGTTGGGGGCAAAGTCTCACTATATAGCTCTATATGGAACTTGCTGTATAGACCAGGCCAGGCAGATATCTATCTCTCCCCTTTCTCCCCCTCCCCCACTCTGACCTGGAACTTCCTATCTGGCCCAGGCTGGCTTTAAAGCCAGAAATCCAAATGCAATTTTTTATTTATTCTTAGAGTATTTCATATATGTGAGTAGGGAAGATAGCTCAGTGTCAAAGGCTCTAGCTGCCAGGCCTGTCTGGTTCCCAGAACCCATATGGTGGAATGAAAGAACCCACTGTGTAAGTTCTCCTCTGGTTCCTACATGTGAGCTGTACAAATGTACCACCCCAATAAATGAAGACTACCTAATTTATCATCATTCCTTGATACCCTATTTCTCCTCTTCTTCCTCCTCCTCTTCTTCTGTTTTGTTTTTTGATAGTGGGTTTCTCTGTGTAATAGTCGTAACTGTCCAGGAACTCGCTCTGTAGACCAGGCTGGCCTTGAATTCACAGAGATCTATTTGCCTCTACCTTCTGAGTGCTGGGATTAAAGACATGAGCCACCACCACTTGGTCTATTTCGTTTTCTTAAATAATTTATTTTATGTGCGTTAGTATGAAGGTGTCAGATCCCCAGAAAGATTTAATTATTATCCTTACTTTGTGTTCTGCCTGCATGAGTGTATGGTGCCCCGGGACTAGAGTTAAGAATGGTTAAAAGCATCCACTTGGGACCTGCTCTTGCAGGTCCTCTGCAAGAGCAGCCTCTAACTTGAGACAAGTCTTTTTTAAAGTCAGTGGTACTGGTGATAAGAATGCAAGACTGAGCACAGCAGGCAGGTACTCTACCACCAGGTGAGACCCCCAGCCATCCAGATGTAACTGTAGGGATTTTTCAGAGATGGGGTGGGGCAGGGTCTCGTTATATAACTTATAGGCTAGCCTGGACCTCATTAAGCAGAATAAGCTGGCTTGGTCTTTTTGCTGCTGCCCACTCAGTGCCAGGAAGACAGATGTGGGACAGCAGGTCACCAAATGTGATGTTTTGTTTTTGAGAATGTGAATGTTTTGACTACACATATGTATGTGCACCACATGTATGCCTGAAGTTTTCAGAGGGCATCAGATTCCCTGCACCTGGGTTTGCAGGTGGTTGTAAGTCACTGGAAACCAAACCAGTGTCCTCAGTAAGAGCAACAAGAGTTATTAACTGCTGAGTCATCTGTCTAGCCCCTAATTTTTTTTGAGACAAGAGTCTCATGTAGTACAGGCTAGCCTTGAACTCATTATGTAGACGAGGCTGGCCCTGAAATCCTGATCTTCCTGTTTCTACACCTATAGTGCTAAAATAAGGGCATAAGACATCATGCTCAGCACCAGAAGTTATTCTTTATCATCATAAAATTAACTTCCAAAATTCCATTACTGTTGTTTTAACAACTATATTAAAAGAGAAAAAAGAAGTTGGGTGGTAGTGGTGTACACTTTAATCCCAGTACTCAGGAAGCAGAGAGCAGGTGGATCTCTGTGAGTTCAAAGCCAGCCTAGCCTACAGAGTGAATTCCAGGAGAGTCTGGGCTGTTACACAGATAAATCCTGAAAAACAAACAAACAAAACACACACACTCAGAGAAAGAGATGGTGGGGGGGGGAGGTAAAAACCTAGAAGGAAACAAAAGGCAAACTATCAAATTGCAAGTGATATTATTATTTTAAAAATCCAAGGATACTAATTAGGAACTATTATAAAAGAAGTTGAATTCGGTTTTGTGATCTGGGAAAACTATTGCTTATACAATTGATTATAATTCACAAAAAGTGAGCTATCTTGGAAGAGGCTCACTGAGTCTGCAACACAGTTCATGTCTGCTGCTTCTTGACTTTCCGTCTATCATTGTGGTAGGTACTGAGGTCTCCAACTACTGTCCTGTTCTCAGGTCCGTCCTCCCTTCACACGCTATTGTCCTCCCCTCATACTCTGTTTAGTTACTTTAGAGGCAAGTGCTCTGATGTTGGGTACATTGTATACTTAGTTACACTTTCAGGATTAATTACTCCTTCCATCAATATATAGTGACTTTCTTTTTTCTGCAGTTTACTTTGGTAAGTACAGCCTCTTTTCTTCTAGTTAACATTTTCATGGCATACCATTTTGGCCTGTAAGCATCTCTGAATCTAAAGGGCATGTTTCTTGTAGGCCTGGGCCTTACAGATTTAACTCAGTTCCCATAAAAATTCTAATGGAAATTTTCATCTAAATAGAAAAAATTTCTAAAATTTGTGTGTAATCACAAAAGTTCTCATATTATCCAAAACAATCTTGAAAATAAAAATAAAGTTGGGCATACTATACTTCCTGATTTCAAATGACTTTATAAAGTCACATCAGTCAAAACAATATGATACCGGAATTGGCTATACACAAAACCAATGTAATATAAAGAGTTCAGAGTAAACAGAAGCTATTAAGTCAACTAGTTTTTCTTTCAAGGAGACAGAACAGGAAACAGTAAACTCCTTAATAAATGGTACTATGGAAAATGAATAACCACATGCTAAAGGAAGAAATTGGACCCGTACCTAACATCACATATAGAAGTCAATTCAAAATGGATTAAAGATTTTAACATATCTGACTTAAAACCATAAAAATTCTAGAAGCAAAGCTGAGGATAGTATCCCCAAAGCCCAGTACACACTTTTAAAACTGGCACATGGGAGGCAGACGAAAGATGGTCACCGCAAGTTCAAGGCTAGCACGGTTTAAGGTGAGCCAAGTTTCATAGTGAGATGCCTCACAGCTTCTTCCACCCCACAACAACAAAACAACCAAACCCCCTCAAAATAAACAGAGAAAAGCTATTTAACACTGACTGGCCTTGATTTATTTGGGACTGCACCATAAGGAAGACCTCTGCACAGCAGAGGGAATTATCAG